CAAAGTCAAGAGTTAACAAAGAACTCTTCTGCAATGTCTTAATCAAGATACATGAAGGTTATGAAGTAGCTTTTGAGGAGATTTTGGATTCAAGAACCTCCAATTGGATTCTACCAGAGGAATTCAATTTAATTCAAGTTTTCTTTTCCCACCATGTTGTTTATGGGTGGTGCAACAGGAAAAAGTTGGAAAGCTGACACAGAGGACAAGAAAGAAATTAGGAAATAAAAAGTTTCATCTTTGTGCGAAAATTTTGAGTCTTTCTCACCTTCCCTCATCTCTGGTATAACCTGAGATGTCCTTATCACCATTCCACTGATTGTAATCAGCGTATCAATGTCTACATGAAAAAAAAATTAATATTTATAAAAAATTAATACAATGCAATATAAGACAACTAATTAATATGTATTTATTTAAAGATATATACACAAAATACTCCAAATCAATGTTTCCTTTTACCTTCAGGGTTAAGTGACCTCATATTCTTGGTTTTGTCAACATTAAAAGTTCTGACCTAAAAATGAAAATTAAATGAATTAATCTTTAAATGTGATGGTCATCAACATCGAAAAAAAAATTATGATAATAACAAATTCATAGTAAAAGATTTGTTTTGTCTTGTCAGAGGTGCAGGATGAAGAAAAAATTCTGAGTCCTCATGGGAACTCAGAATTTTTTCTTTGTCCACTGTAAGCTATAACTCACCATCTTTCTTACTCTAATAACAAATTCCATTTGCATTTTAAATATTAATTCACCTGGATTTGATGTTGCAACTGGGCATCAGGGTATTTTTCAAAGAACACCTCATTCACAGCCATATCAAAGGTAGGAATCACTTCTTGTGGATAACAGATCAATTGCCTGTATAAATCAGCATCAAATGTCTTCAGATGACCACAATCAATGTTCAAGAAAGGTGTCTCCAATACGTGGATCTGCATGAAAATATTTTATGTTAGACAGTGCTAATCAACAGTTTTCACACTAAATGAAATATGTAGAGAGGCTAGATTTTATCAAGGTACCATTGTAAATGTACTGTAATCTAACAACATAAAAGTGTATGAGAAGACTAGTTGCAAATGCCTACTTCGGCTTGCAAAAAGATGTTTTTGTTTTTTCATAATATGAAGTTCTTCAGGGCTTCAGCTTCAGGTAACAATACAGGTCTTTTTGTTGACCCTTGTGTTTGCATGTTAAGAAACAAATGAGAAGGTCCAAATTCCAAATATTTCAAGATGACTCATCAAATAATCTATTTGTCACAGAAATAAAAAGGAGATCCAGATCACCATTTTAGTGGAGCTTTAAGAAAAAGCAACAGTTCACAAGGCCATAACAATAGTAATTACCTCATCAAGGCGTTGCAAGTAGACTGGCAAAAGGGGATCAAATCCCTCGCCCATATCCTCAGCATCTTCGTCAACAAAGTCACAGACAAATTTTCTGAATTTCTCCTTAGTGTCACTCACAACAACATCTGTTCCCCAGATGACCAATGCAGGAGCTGTGGCAACATCACTAGTAGGTCCAGTTGGCTGATCAGTGGTATCAGATGGCTTAGAGACAAAAAAAATCTCATTTTATTTGAACCCTAGAAAAAGGGAACAAGAATGCATATCTCAACCTACAAAATTGGTGTAAGTTACTTACTGGTTGATTTTCTCCCAGATTAACTTGACGCAATCGCCTGTCACTGCGAATATCACTGCGATGTCGGATTGGTGTACCAGCTCTGATCTTTAGTTAAGGAAACTGAGACTATCAATGGTTTCATGTAGGTTCAATCAAACTCAGATTATTCTCTGCAGCTGCATACTTGGGCTGTTGGTCAGCCTTTTGTTCACGATTACTGACATTGTGATAGCATACAATATTGCTAAATTGACCTTGAATCACAGCAAATAATAGGCTCACAAGGAATTCTCAAATTCATTTGGAAAAGCACAGAATTTGGACAAAACTATATTCTCAAATGTTGACTCAAAGCTAACAAGCTTTTAAACAAAAAGTAGCTAATTTAAAAAGTTCTAATAATTACAGTTTCTGTTTATTCATCTTATGAAAAATTTTTAACAATTTACCAAATGTTCTTCCATTTTTCCTACATAATGTGCCCTTCTTCAAATTCTATATTCTACCAGGAGGCTTGGTGTTATAAAATATGTTACTTCCAATACTTGATACACTGGTGCAATTTTGTTTTACAATTCAAGCTAAGTATCCTAAGCAAAAATTCATCAGATCCCATTCCCCTTATTCAACTTCTTTTAGTTATTTCTGTTAAAAAGCACACGGTATGATCATGCAAATTTTAAACACAAATGCAAATACTTCTATTAGAGGATACAGACTACCAGCTGGGGTACCACCAGCTCTTGAACTTGGCGTAGCATAGTTAAGAGGTGAGCTAAGGTCAATTTCACTTGTCTCCAGCCCTCCTCTGGTTTGAGGTGATGAGAACAGTCCAGATTGATCAGGATCAGGCTGCCCCTCAGATGGTGAGGTAGGTGCTAATGGGAGAGGGGATGACGGTTCATCTACTCGTCGTCGTTGAGATGGGGGTGACACTGCAGGAGCAGCTGTTGGAGATGTTGCCCTTGAGCCCCTGCGGTTGCTGCGAGTACTACGCGTACTGGTTGTAGAAGCATCAGATGCTACATGAACAGAAAATTACGACATCAAAACTGAGGGATCAAACTTTCTCAGTTTATCCTTTCTTGATGGAATACTGCTCTCGCATCAACAAGCACTCGGTTGACTTTCATGGGTCTTAGTAAAAGCCTTAGTAATTAATACAGAGCGAGCTTGAATTGTGCCGATTGCTGGCGGCGTGGTGAGAAGGAAATGACCAATGCAAGGCATCAGGAACCACTTCTTACGATTCGGTTCCGAGATAATACGTTAATAAAACTTAGCGAGAAAAAAATGGCTATTGACACCAGCATGTGCCGAATAATGGGTTAGAAAAATAAGCTGACAAAATCGTAAAACATTTATCCATCGGAGCTCGGCATAATTAATCATAAATGTGCAAAAAAAAGTTACATATTTCTTTCATCCTTCCCTGATGCATGATCAACCTACGTCAATGAGTTTCTTTTTTTTCAGGTATTCATTCCAGATGAAAAGGTAATCAAATTTATCCACATGTTGACGAGCAAAGTTCCAAGAGGTTGACATCGGTCAAAGTAATTTCGATAGACCCGAGTGCAAAACAGATCGACACATTTTCGACGTAAAAATTGAATGAGAGAAAGCATGATGTAAAATCAGGGCAGAGAAATCAACAAAGGAAATAATAATAGCATTAATAAGGATATACTCACGCGGAGGGCTTCCTCTAGAGCGCTTTCTTCCTCTCGGTGTAGAAGGTGCAGACATTTTGATTCTCTTCTTCCAACACGAACAACAGACTCACGTGTGAAAAAGCGCGGGAAATATATCAGGTGACCAAAATGCGCGCAGGGAATTCTGGATGTTGACAAGAGTACATTCTCGATCACTACCACGGAACAATCGCTCCAAGACAAGGACAACAAGACCACCTTAAACTTTAAAATTTTATTGATCGTATAAATAAAACAATTTATAAAATACATCAGGGAACTCTAAATCCCCTCTTAATAAATGATATTAATATAACATCTCTTTCAAAATTCAAATATTTCTTTGTCTTTGGTCATTTGTCACCTAACCTTTTCCAAGAGGATCCCAACGAAACAAATTAAGCTTTTTTTTTGGCTGACATACATGCGACTATCAGCTGATTCAATGAAGTTTCTTCTTTATTTTCTTCCATTTTATGTTACCGATCTCCAAAAACCTGGAAGATCTATGTGTATCATTAACTCTTTAACTCCCATAAGTAACCAAGACAGAATTTCTCCTCGTGTTATCAAAACAGTATCAAGCAGACCAGTGTTGAGAATAAAGAAACATATCGATTAGGGGATCATTAATTGATCCCATATCAAATTCTCCAAACTAACATGATTGGAATTGTATGGCAGACAGTAAAAAGAATTACTGATGAGATCCTAGAGAAAGGGTTTAAAAACAAACAAACAAACAAACAACCTAACAAACAAATTGCCATTATTTGAAATGTGTGAAATACATTTGGAAATAAAAATTAATCTGCATTCTTCTGAAAAATATCCATATACATTTGATTCGTAATTCCCATGATGGAATTGGTTCACTGATTTTTTAAAAATTCACAAATTTATTCAGGCTCCTCGTGGGGTGGTTGGGTCTCGTCCGGTTTGTCGTCCTTGAGCCAGTAATGAAACTTGCCATCGATGAGGTGCTTAAATTTCCGCATAACAACATGCCCAACACTCGTAACTTGTTCTGGTATAACCTTATCGCCATGAAATACAGCAACAAAATAAGAAAATGAGAATTTACAACTTAACAATATGTATTCCTCTGATAAGTATAACTGCGTTAAATGTTTCCTACAAAACGATGTAAATTAAGAAAAAAATAAAAAATAAGAGAGGATTGAAAAGGGAAATTCTTCCGTTTTATAGATGTTCGAAATGCGAACTAAGACTAAGAGCGTTTCCTTGTTCCTAAGTCTGAGTGTAACGATTCGTTTAAAGCATTTCTGTCAATGATCGAGATAAAAGGACAGGAGAACATACGCCAAGTCGGAAACTTACGAAACTCGGCAATTTTTGCACTAAGAAAGCGCTCAGATGACGCCGATTGGAACCAATTTCCACAGCGTCATAGAGGAAAATAAAGGGATTTTGGATGAATCATAGACAGCCTGGCCCAGAACATCGTAGGCTGAATGATTTTCTTATAAAGCACTATAAAGCCAATTTTGTTCAGTGTGGAAGGTTCAGTTGTCTGAGATCAGTCAACTTAAATATACCATGACCTACGTTAGTGAGGAAATAGCACCGCTCGACCCAGTATTGGCTCAAAGTTGATACACTGAAAAAAAGACAACACTTTCTTGTCAGGTTCGTCGCCTACCTCGACTTCAAACTCTTCTGTCCCAAGCTTTAGTATCCCTCTGTAAAGAGGTTTGTTTGCTGTCGAGTAGGGTCCCCTACTGTCGACGTTCCTGAGGTATTCTAACTGTAAACTCTGAATGAGGCTCTCGGTGGCAGTGACAACATCACTACCGGAATCCACAATGAACTCGGTCAGCTCTGATGAGCGGGCATCTTGAGGTAAAGGACACAGCAAAAATGTTAGGGAGACACATATTTGTATTTCATCAGTAGACGTAAGAATTGCAGAAATGTCTTATTTGCCAGATTTGGCAGGAAAAAAGCTGTGTAAATGTGCGTTACAGAGAAGACAGATCATACACAATACTCTTCTTTCTATCAATGTTGTGAATTAAATTACCTAAATTTAAGATCGAGCAGACTGCACACTGAGAAAGCCTTCAGTTAAAATTTGGCCATTTTCCAATAGAATGAGCATCTATCTGACTGATAAGCTGATACATGGTCTACGAAATAGACATACAGTCTGACTGGCTGAGAGATCAGTGTGTTGACTGACTAACCAACTAGCCAACTGACCAAGTTACTATGTGTCTAACTTACTGCCAGTGCATGAGTAATAAGTGACTTACAGACTAGTTTGCTAACTGAAAGACTGGCAAGCTAATTAACTGACGTATGAAAATACTATTTGAAAAAATGATTGATTTCTTAATTGACTTTTGAGTGACTCGGTGACTTATCCACAGGTTGACTATAGCTGAAAGACCACAACACCAGCTAACTAATTAGCCAGCAAATTGAAGGACTGACCAACTCAATACTTAATGGCCACTTCTTAACGGCTAACAACCTGAGAACAGACTCATTGACTTACAACCCAAGTCAATCAAAAGTAAATAAGTAATTACAGAACATGCTTAGCAGTTTAACTAATTAAATTGCAGCTCATGTAGTTTGGAAAATTTGAAGCTAGGCTAAGCAGTTTGAAGCAAAGAAAAGAAACTCCAATAACTACACAAATAGGTCTATGTATTGCATCATCACTGATACACCTGCATACATACCTTCTCCAGTGTCAGATTTAAGGTGTCCTTGCACACACAGAAAAGGGTGTGGATTGTCTTTAAGGCCTGGTGGCTGTCCCCAGTAACCCAGGACAACCACTCTAGTATCAGGTTCCTTTGCTGAATGCCACTTGAGGAAGGTTGCTGGTGGATAAGAGGTAAAAAGAAAAAACGTGATCGTAGAAGCAAATGAGCCTCTTAACAAGGCATCTTGTTCATAATGAAAATTTGACCTCATATGCTTTCCATTTGTATTCTGTCTTAATCTCCTCTATCTTAAGCCATTCCTTTGGTTAATGCTTGGCCTTTTGGCTTTTCCCTGCTCCTTCAAACTATTGTGTCAATCAATGACAAGTCCCAATGACTCCCCTTAATAATCCAAAAACTTTGAAATCAGCTCAGATAATCATGACCAAGTTCTTTTAATTTTTGACCAACAGGAAGAGGAGCTCACAAAACTAAAATTACATCTCATTGGTAGGTAAAACTAATACATGTTATAGAGCTAATATTATTTAATTGATTGTATTCTCTTTATTGAGTTCACTATGATTTTTCTATAGTTTACAGTTTGCCGACTGTAAACTGTATGGTCTTGACGAGAACTAAAATAAAAGTTGCCCACACTTGGAAATGCAATTGCACAATGCCAGCTAACATAGATGACTAGAAGTTTTGGTAAAGAAAATTTGATAACGCAAAAATATCCCACTTTTCCACATAACACACCGATATTACGGGAATATAAAGTTCTTAGAAAAAAAGGAAAATATTTTGGATCACCGGTGACTGATTTTACAGACATAGAATTCAAACGGTGGAACGGATTAGTTACAAAATACACGTCAGCTTAGAGTCATATTTTTAGGTCTGTAGAGTACTATCGAAAATTACAAGTTTATTCTTTGACGCGCTGAAGACTTTTGGGGCACTATGAATCGATAAAACCGAAAGACTGTGTGGCATATTGTGGAAATACCCCTAGCATTCTGATGAAAGATTCCAACAAACATAGCACTGGCTTTTCTAAACCATTATATGAGAGGTCTGTGAGAGGGCGATTCGTCTCGAGTTCAATACACTCCTACATCCCCTTTCAAGATAGACTTCATTTACGTTTATTAAATAAACTTTTCGTAGAATGAAGATATAAAAGAAATTGAAAGAAAACGGCTCAGAGCTTTGCCATAGCAAGCCATCTAATAATGCCCAAAACGAAACATCAAATCTGGCATCTAGAAAAATAATGTGCCTTCATGATCCCTTTCCTCAACTGAAAATTTGCGCGCACAGATTTTGAACGTAACACAGCCCTTAGACTAACAAACTTTATGCTTATCCGTATTTAGTGAGACGAAGAGAAAAAACCAGGATTAGCAGCAGTACTGCAAAACAGATGATAAGAAAACTGTTGGCTGATTTTCAGTTTGGAGGTACTAAACTCTGATCACAAAAATTAACGGTTCCATAGCGGTATTTGTTCGCGACCGAGCTGTTCATTTTTATAAGTTACTGTGCTGTTTAATTGCCCCTTACAAACGAAACACGGTTCCTTCACTTATTAAATTCTAATTAGAACCTCGGTTGATCCAAAAAATACAAAGTTTTCAGAGAAAAAAAACCGGGCTCTTCAGGATTGATCCAACGACAGCGGCGCCAAAGAGACACTCTTCAGTCCCGTATGAAATCACAAATCAATAAATCTTTTGCAGTTGGACTTTTAAAACGTTATCTCTTTTCAATCCATGAAGGTATTATTTCAGATGTTTAACCCGACGTTCGAAATATAATTTGGCAATGTAGCACGATCTTTTTTATTGGAATATCTTAACATACCACTCTTGGAACTGCTGCAACAACGATAGGTTTGACATAGGATATAGGAACACCTCGCGATTTCTTGCGTTGAAATAATCTCTTTTGAAATTTATCTGCAACCTCGACGTTTTTCAACGACGAATGCAGTTAGTGCTCTTAAAAAAAAAAAAAAGAAAGGGCCATTTAAGGGGAGTCCCCCTTCAAGCCATTTTGTGGAAAAGTAAAAACGTTACCGATCAAGCGTTTAGCGGGGTAATATCCCTTCAAATGAAACTGCTTCTATAGGTGGAAATGTTCCTGCCGAATAATAAACAAATCGTCCATAGAAAAAAGTAAGAAAAATGTAGCTCACTCTTTAAGTGCCAGCTAATTAGTTATTTTCTCGATGAGGAAGGTCGTCTGCGTCAATGAACTAAAAACAGGATTATATTCAGATCGAAAGTGATCAGGCATTGCTAACGTTTCACCTCCAATCCACTATAAGCAAACAAATATAATTTCGATCTTCATTTTAGTGATATAAATCTGTTCAAGAGTGAGCTAGTTCAAAGTTCCTACCTGCACTTTTAACCCTTTTTCTGTGCCCTGGGATCATGATCTCTAATGAGTCTAAGAGCTCGTCACTCCATTCCCTGGATTTTACATCCCTTATGGTGATGATTCCCTCAGCTCTCAACCTCTCCATGTAACAACTTTCATGATCTAAATCAAGATGTTGTAGCCAGTCTGCGACATCTATGAGAGAAGCTGGAGATTGGAAAATATATATGCATTGTGAGTTAAAAGATAATAGAGAAAAAAGTTTGTCATTAAAACGGAAACAATTGTGAAATTGGTGACTTGAAACAATAGATAGCTTATCTTCTAAGATAGATTCTCATCCGTCTCAAAAAAGGAATAAATCGGAAACTAAATAGGACGAGTGGCACGAATCCGATCTCACGGTGCTCTAACATCACGTAGGGTAAACAAAAAATATGGAGAAATGTACTTACCGGCGTCTAAGATCTTGAACCTATCGTCTCGTTCTCGTATACTCAGAGAATCCAAGTCTTCTTCGTCGAGTATACATAAGTCAATGATCCTATCATAACCTTGAGTTAAAAATCTTGTCCCGTATCTTTCAAGGCCAATTTTCTCCAAAAAATTCTCGACTGCATTTCTCGAGGCCATCACAGTCTGCATTACTCTCTTGTTGAATAAAATTCACTTTGATTCCTAGCGCGTTATGGCTGGAAAAAACATTCTGTTGTTGATTGGTTTTCTATAATCGATAATTGTCTCTGATTGGTTATTTGTAATGGATTATTCCCGCGAGGGAAATTTTTTGTCACGAAGTCTTCGAGGGACGCTCTGCTTGTTTGAACTTGCCCTGATCTAAATTCCCCGATCTATTGTTCTTTAACGTGACGTCAATGAAATATTGATATCCATGATGGCGGCTAATGAGTGCGTTCTGTTTCTGTTCAAACGTGCCTGATCAGGTTATTTCCCGTCTGAAGTCGAGATAATTCTAACATTCCTTGACAGTGAAATGGTAAGTTTTTATATTGTGTTTGCTTTCAGTTCAACTTTATCATTAATTTGGACTTGATTTTTCGGGCTTTTTTGCCACGACTAGGAATAATTTGTTGTTTCTTTCGGTACTTTCGATAAAAAAAAATAAGCATAAGCTGTTGGGAAATAACCATAAACAAACGATTATAAACATGTTAGTTTTGTCGATCGGTGGGTGCAATAGATTAATACAGGCAGCTTATAATCTTTAATTATTTGAGCTTAACACCTAATTATTGGATTTTCAAACTTTTAGGCCTTGTGTAAACATGAAAAATAATCTTGTTGGAAAATCTGGATTTTTACTTTGAACAATAAACAAATTTTTGTCAAATGTTGTCAAATCAACCATCGGAAATGTGTTTGAAAACTTAAAGACGTTGGTTAACTCCTCACGACATAATACACTCATTCGATCACACAAAATGAACTGGAGCGAAAACAAACGTTTTTATAGTCTACACCAAAGTAGTTTTTCGTTTGTAATTGATATCTGCACAAGTATAGATTATTTTTGGGTGAAAAAGGGGAAACAAGAAATTGAAAGTGCTAGCTTGCTGTTTTAACAACGCAATTGTAACGCAATTCTTTTACAGAATTAAAGGGGAAAGTTTCTGAAGAAACTGTGGTGCCGTGTCGGTGAGAGAGCATGACAGGGTAATTAAGTATTATCAACTGAGTTTATAATGTGAATTTTGGGTCCATTTGCTCTAACGAAGGATTAACGCTTGAAACGTCAGCTTTGAAACTCTTTTTGATGGCAAATCTACATTATTCACTCAGTTGGTAATACTAAATTACCCTCTTTTACAGAATGCTGACATTTAAAAGCAAGGTGTATTCTTTGTCACAATCTACCTATTATTTTATGTGATTGTAATAAATATGTGGAGGTTCAGACTGAATATAGTTCAGAATTGCTTTACTTAACCTAATTTTATTGGTTTTTTTCCCTTATCATTAACCATATGTTTTTATTTGTTTAAAAATGAAGAAAGATTAATGCTCCTAACCACAGTACATGCAGTTTCAGGGATTTTCAATGAAAATTTGCATGAGTGGCAAATCATCATCCTCTACACCAAGGGAGGTTGAGGGTATGCTTCCTTCAGAAATTGGAAATTATAATCTGTTGCAGATGTATTTTTCTTCATGAAGAGGTCTTCTTATATATAATTGCTTGGTCATTCTTGAAGAAAACCTATTTGTACAATTTTGAAGATAATTATGTCACAATCAATGCAAGGATGTTTGTGTTTAACCAAATACTACAGCCAATCATGATGATGTCTATGTATGTTTGTGATGACTTTGGTTTTGGTTTTGTTATACTTAATCAATCAAAATATACTCTTGTGCAATTTATGATTAAAATGTTTAACAGAGGATTTTGTTGGTTACTTGTGAAACTTACAGTGCATATCATGTCTGTAAGAAAAATGGAGAACCAATTTTACCCTTTGACCACTAACAGTGACTAGCATCTAAATTCTCCTTACAATATCACCCCTGAATCAATCATACAGGTCTTGAGAATGAAGGAACTGATCTTCAACTAAACAAGCCTTTGATTTTTTTCAAACAAATTCTCCTTGTCAGAACCTTAGGAAATGTGTAGAGAATGGTATCAAGAATATGTATCCTGATCAATGTTAGGGTGTTAAAGGGTTAAAAGGTAATGCATGTGAAATTTGCTTTCCTATACAGATCTCCCTCATTCAAGAACAATGTGACTGGCAGCTAAAGATCCTGGACCACTCCACTACTAGTGAAATGCTGGAATGTGCAAAGTTGAACATTTTTAAACAAGGTTTTTCTATAATTCACTGATATGGCAATGGCAATGGCTTGCACAAAAGTTGGAACAGTAAAGCACACAAGAGGTCTGTGAGGGGGTGAACCTTCTAAGATCTCTTACCAGGTCATTGCACCCTTTCCATAGCTTTAATGAGAGCCAGATTTCGGGCCAGTACATGCTTTCAGATACACATTGTTTTGTTATTGTCTTGTGCATGAACTCAGCAGTAAGAATCCTTTAATTCTTTCTAAATAGGTCATTCTTAGAATAAGGTGGAAGCCAAATGCAAAAATAAGTCTACTGTACAAGTTGAACTTTGGAATGTCTTGATAAATATCTATGTGACGCTAATCAAGGCTCTTTCATTCTTGATTTCTTTTGCAAATGATCTCAAGCATTTATTTCTGTCTTTTTCAAAACTTAGAAAGCTTGAGTTTAATACAAATGCCTTCAAATTGCTGTGTGGTTATACCACAAGTGAAGATTGATGAGGCAAAGAATTAACTAATTCCTGAATACAAGATCTTTGAAATGGGCATCCTTTTAAGTTATGAGAGTTTGTGTTAAGTGACATGAAATGTTTCACCTGAAGCTTATCATAAAGTGAGAAGAGCTATAGAAAATATAACCACTAGTAAAGTTACAATATCTACATGTAATATAAAGGAACTCAAAGCCTAAAAAATTCCTTGGAAGATAGATATGAAGTGTTCCCTTATTGACAAATGGTTTTCTTTCTAAAAGCAATTTTCTCATGTCAGTCATTGATTGACTGTTTACTCTACTTTTGGTTTGTTTCTTCACTCAGGAGATGTTGTTACATGATTACCAATTCCATGCAGATGCTTTTTTTTTCATCTTGAAATTAGTTATTGTCTAACATTTACTAAAAGTTTGACAACGTATTTAAGAACACTTGTTTATCCTCTTCCATTTGTACCACACCATTGCCAATTACTTCTAAGAAAGGTTTTGCCGATCAAAATGCTTAGACCTTGATTAATGTTCTTGTGACCTTGATAAATTAAGTTATCCTGCATATTAGTTCTATGGAAATTTCTCAAAATGACAGCTTTCAGTTAGTATATGTGCTATGAATTCAAGCTGGAGATCCTCAGATATGAAGCTTTTCCACAATAGATCTACAAGTTATATTTCCCTCTGCATGCATAATGTTGTATATAGTTTTATAAATAATATTGGAATTGTAATAAAGCATATTTTATTTTATTTTAACTTATTTTCTCGAAGATATTAGCTCTACAGCTACACTGTGAATTTCGAGCATAAATAAAGTATATGTATGTATGTATGTATATGACTAGTCAATTTAGTGTGCCATATTTCACTGTACAGCTGGTTAGATTTATAATTTTTTTTGAATTAAAATCATCCCCTTACATTTGAACATAGAGATATAATAAATATATTACTTACCTCATTTTTTTGATGTGTACTGGTAGTTATGGAACTTATCTCTTCTACTTTGCCCTTTGGCTATAAATCCAAATGGGAAAAGCTTGACCCACAACTTACAGTATGGACCTCGAACTTGGTTAGTAAGAGGTGTATGATTTTAATTGTCTACATCTTAAGTTCACAAAGAAAATAAAGTGTTCAGCCAATAGGACAAGATGTGTCACATACAGGGCTTTTATGTTTTACAATGAGGTAAAGAAAGACTTTGGCCATAATTGTCCAATATTTTTTAACTGTTCAGCTGTTAGTTTATTTGACTTTTGAATAAACATTTTATTGAAACTTTACTTTTTTCTATTGTTATTGCACGCATGGTTTACTTTTAGTGCCCCAGCTAATGATGTTATATATTGGAAGAAGATGGCAAATGGTTCAAGTTCTCATTACTTAATTGAATAATTGAGATACCATGATCATGAAGTAGCTTTTTGGAGCCTTTGATTAGTTTTATGTGGCTTGTGGAAAATCCAAACTCTCTTAACCCTTTAACTCCCACAAGTGATTGAGAGGTAACTTCTCCCCATAATATCTATACACTATCTAGCAAACAGGTAATGAGAATACTTAAACTTATCACGTAGAAGTTGTTTTCCTTGATCTAACACCAAATTCTCCGAACCAATTGAGAAGGAAATGTGTAGCAGCTAGAGGGGAGAATTAACAGTCAGATCTTGGGAGTTAAAGGGTTAAAAAGATAGCAGGGCTAAAAATTGGCGGTCGCACGGTCGCCAGTGGCGAGTTAAAACTGACCAGGGCCACCAAAAGTTGAGGTTTGAATGCCCAATGTGCGACAATGCTGCAGAATTTCGAAAAGTTGCAATGTAAATTATGCGAAGTACAAAGTTAAAAATAAAACTCAATATGTAATTTAATTGGACTACCGTTCTCTTCGTTCCTTTGCCTGGACTCTAAGATCGTTCATTTTACTAAATTTTTAGTTCTGAAGTGGAAATTCCGAGCCGTTTTAACAGTGATTTCACGAGCGATCCACATTCACAACATATAGACGCCATTTGATTTTGTGATTGCCACGTGACTCTGGACTTTTGCGTTCTTTCTCTTTAATAAACGCTCTGTTAAAAGCCATGGGGCGTTTATTCAACTTTTTTATTTTAAACTAGAGAAAATGAATGGCTACTTCATTTTGGGATGGGCCACTAAGAATTCAAGGAAACTGGCCCGACTGGTCACCCAGCGCTGGAGTTAAGTTTTAGCCCTGAGATGGGCCAACTTCCTGACTCCTGGGCTTTCTCGGCTCAATCAATGCAAGGCTGTGAAGAGTTATGACAGAAAGGTTTATATTATTCCTCCCTACGAGTTAGATTTTATCATTTTAGTGAAGCCTCTTGACCTGAACAAAATTGCTCAGTAGTTAAAGTTTTTAAAGAAAAATCAAAGATAGCGGAATGTATGTCTCAATTTTCATATTCTAAAACTCAATGTGAAACAATAGACACCCCTAGAGGGCCCACAAAAACTCCATGGTTTACTCCCCAACACGTAACAGCGATGACTTCTTTTATCGTGTCATCAATTCTGAAATGCAGAAAACTCCATTGAATTTGTTGTGTTCAAGTTTCAAAGTATGATTTATTTCTACAACACAAGACTAATGCACTGATCAGATTGAAGCCTCAATATCCTCCCCTGCCATTCAGGGGCATTTGACTGTCGTTCGTACTGCGGGGTAGGTGTTTAAAGTTAAGAGTTCACTTTTGCAAGCTGATGGCTCAGAAGAAGAGATCTACAAGATCTAGGTTTTAAAGTTTCAACATTCAATCAATTGCTGTTTAATGAGTAGAAAGTCACGGTTGCTGATTTTACAAAAATATCTGAATCTCGGGTAAAGCATTTGAATACAATTTTGGCCCGGGGGAGATGGATTTGAAACGAGGGGTTTAAGGGTTTTTATACTTCGCTTTCTCTCTTTCTTTTTTTTTCTTATTTCCTTTTTAATAAAATTGTATCGAGATTAGATTCACTTAATGGATTTGTGAAAGGGATTGACTCCTGATAAACAAACAAGCGCTCTTAAAAATATTCACAAATTCTTTCAGCTCATGTCATGTTTCACGGTGACGCTGTTTGGAGGCCCACTTATAAGATAAACGAAGGACCGTATTGGTTATTAGAGCGGCACCTTTTCCATTCAGCGCATCAGTTCGAGAGAGGCTAAGAAAACCAAACTATCACGAGGAAATGTCTTCCCAAGCGGTAAAAAACTGTTTTAGGCCAAATGATTGCACCAGGAAAGCTAAGGTGGCACTGATCACAGGTGTTACTGGACAGGTTAGAGATATAACGCATTTATTTTTAGACTGTGTGTATCTTCCATGATCAGATTACAAAACGATATTGCCCGATTGCAATGGTGTATCAACTTTAGTATTTTCATTAAGAAAATCCATCTATTGAACGTGGATAACTTCATGTTTCAGTACTTTGTCTTCAAATTGTGTGGGTAATCCAAACACACTGGCTTTCATCAGGTGTGAATAACGTTTGTAAAGATAAAAGCGGACCGTCCAAATAAGGTTCTCTAAAACACGCGATGTGAATTTAGTGTATGTTAGGATTCATATGATCGTACGTATTCATAGCGTTTAAAAATTATGGCTGTGCCGTCAACCAGTTTGGATAGGAACAGGCAAAGGGTCTGGGATCGCTTTAAACAGCACCTGAGCACCACCATACATCAGCATTTATCAGAAAAGAATGCACCGCCTTTACGGGCAATAATTTTTGCCTCTAGACAATCTTGTTTAATAACAAGCGGAATCACCTCATAAATGCTCAAACTTTCCGGGTATACTAGTTTAATATTGCGGATCAATCAGGTTTGTTACTAAAGCCAGGCAACATCGGAACTATTCTGCCATCACAAGAAAAAACCTTTTCTATAGAGGCTGAATGATAAAATAAAATAACGATTCTTTCCTCAGACCACTTGAATGTTATTTTATAGCATTCGCATTTACCGTTTTCCTTTGGTCGCGCATCGTAAGAAGTAAGGTTTTCCTGAGACCTTGAAATGTAATGTTTTGATTGGTTGAAACACACTCACACGTGGCGTCACACAACAGCAGTCATTTTGTTACGGCAACCGGCATGTTCTGATGTGAAACCCCAGGTACTGAGAGTCCAGAGGTTGCTTAGAGTTTTTCTCCGCTATTTTTGTGAACATGGCAGAGGCAAAACGCCGAAAGAAAGTGGCTTTAATTACGGGCATAACTGGACAGGTGAGGCAATTCAAGAGAGTTATGTAATGCACAGCGCTCAGAGAATACCGATCGATGGAGCATAACACGTGTTTAATTAATAAACTCTGTAGAGAGCGTACATCCACACGTGTTAGAAGTTCTTAATAGTTTCCATAAAATTCGAATGGAAATTAGAGTCCTTCATGTTCTCAAGTAGTCCTCTGGCGATTTCAATGCTGACAATTTACAACAAAACTTTCGATATGAAGTAATCTTCCCAAACCACATGTTTAGTGGTTGCTGGCAAGGCGCTCAAATTGGTCTTAAGGGAATATAAATTTAGAACTATAAGTGGTGGAAAAACGAATGTAAAAGATGTTGAATTTGCATAATTGTATCTTGAAGACATCTGGATGGTAATTTGTGTGTACGTGATTTTAGGAGTGTAGCGCCAATACTACCTTCTGAGATCGGATGCTGCAGCATTGAGGACCTGATTCAATACCCAACCAAAGTTACCTTTAGGTAATTTAGTGTTAACAGCTGAGCTGGAAAGGTAAATTGGCCACCGTAAAGGGTTAAAAAGCTGACGTTTCGAGCGTTAGCCCTTCGTCAATCGCTCTGACGAAGGGCTAACGCTCGAAACGTCAGCTCTTTTACCCTTTACGGTGGCCAATTTACCATTTCAACTCAGTTGTTAACACTAAATTACCTGCCACATTCTTCCACCGACGCAGCACCACAGTTTCTTTAGAAACTTACCCCCTTTATTGAAAGTTACTTTTAGGTTTACTGAATTTGGAAAAACGTAGTTATTAAAAGGATGGCCTTACTTGAGCAACTTAAACCGAGTGAATGAAATAAATCATTTCGCACGGCTATGAACAGTTATATCAAATTACTGTCATGGCAAGACTAGATTGGTAGTTTACAACAGTCTCATCCCAAAAGTCTAATTGATCTAGACGATAACAGAGTTATCCATGGGGAGAGATCTGCAAAGATTTCCATATTACTTGTCACACTATTCTAAAACAAAGTTGGAGTCCCTCAGGCAATCTGATGTCTTCTATAATTTTTTCATCAATCCAAGAACTGTATGCATAATTAAGTATGGCTTTGTACAAAAATCTTGTCAAAGGGATATTCTTTCTGTCAAAAGCACGAGAAAAAGGATAAATCAAAGTTCCCCACCATCATCAAGAAATCAGTCCACAGACCTTCAGATTTTTTGCACTAGAAGCTCTAACATTGATCTGCAAAGTACTCAATGGTTAGCTCTTTCTTGGTGGTCAGTTGCATCCATCAACGACTTCAGTATGCACTACCGATCTATTAAAGGTTGCTATATGATCAGTGAGTCCCAGCCTTGATGTGTGCATGAGGGAAGAAGAACTGTGCTGACTCTTTGATGAGTAGTGAATAATTGTGATAAATCCTGCTTTCTGCGATAGCGTGAAGCAATCAGGATCAATCCTTTCACTCCCATGAGTGACTTCTGACTTTATCAATACAATATCAAGCAAGCAAGTGATGAAAATAAGGAAAAATATCAAATATGGTAATGTTAGTTGATCCAACACCAAACTCTACAAACTAAAATTGGTAGAATTGTATGGAAAACAGTAAAGAGAATTACTAAGATCTTGGAAGCAAAAGGGTTCAGTCTCCTTTCCCCCCCCCTTTTTTTTTTACTGGTGGGATGCTTGTACATTATGGTTCATTTCCTTTCTTCCTTTCCCTGAAGAATCAGGAGTTTCCCACCCAGTTCCCTGCTACCTAGAGTGGTGTTATGAGATTAAGTGTTTTGTGAGAAAAGTCATGACAAGAACTTGACCAGAAATTAAAGCCACAGTCACCAGTCAATCTGACCAGACTTTTGAATGCCAACATGCCAAGCTTCTACCTCCTTGTAAACAGGCTCTTACCCTAGCAGACTCTATCTTTCAAAAGGCTTAAAGTGGGGAAGTGATATGGTCTGAATCCTGTTAATAGAGATTGGCAAAAGTATTTGGGAGTCATGAATTAGAGGCATTCCTTTTTCACTTAGCTCTTAATTTGCTTGTAATGTTTTGAAACACCTCTACCAGTTTTAATGTACACAGACGAGAATAACATATTTGCAATTTAGTGGTTTAAAAACTACTAAAAAGGTTGGTCAGATGGCTATATTTGACTTGCATTAAATTTCCTATGACTATTGTTATTTTTTGGCAGGATGGCTCATACCTTGCTGAGTTTCTGCTCGCAAAAGGTTACGAGGTAAGTAAAAGATCCCATCAAATATAGTGCAGTCTATTGGTTTTGGGCACTGTTGTGTTTGCAAAGATGCTGTTAACTGTATAGTGAAGATTCTACTTTCTTGTCTGTGAATTTGACATTAATACAAGTAGATTGGTGCATTAGCAACTGAAATGTCAACTGAGATTTTTAGAATTGTTTACATTTTTATTGGATTAGATTTGTTAACCTTTATTGCAAAATTGTTTTAATATTTATTGTCCTTAATAATGCTCTGTGAGAGGTAATCCTATTTAAACATCATTTGTGATTACAAAACTGGTAAGACCTTGTAACTAGATATACTTGATCCTTATTAACTACCTGTACTTCAATCAATTTTTTTCTCTGTTGTTTTTAATTATTAATAAATAATTAAGTTAAAAGTTCTTATTATGAGTAACTACATGACACTTGCTTATTGTGTTTTCTAGGTGCATGGAATTATCAGACGTTCTAGCTCTTTCAACACAGGGAGAATTTCTCATCTGTATGCTGATATCAGAACCCATAAAATGGGAGGTATTATGCCTATTGTACAGTGATGTACCTTCAACTTAAGCCTGTGAGTTGGTTCTCAGAAAGTGCAAAGCTCACAAGATTATAGTCAACTGGCAAAGCAAGCAAACCGAAGGTCTGCTAGATCCCCTTACAGACCTCTTGCTGCATGAAGTCTTGCAGGCTTCACCTCTCACGCCTTATCAGTAGTGATTGCTGGCTCACAGGCTACTTTGACCATTGTTTGTCATCATCTTCTACAAAATCTCAGATCAGTATAACTTTTGCCAAAGTTTAAAACTCTACATCACTGTTACAGCAAAGGGAACTTATCTAAGAATACTTTATTGTCAACCCTATCACTCCCAAGATCTCATTAGTAATTCTCCTTAGTGTCTGCCATACAATTCTGATGATATGAGTTTGAATAATTTGGTATTGGATCGACAAAATCCCTTTATCAGTATTTTTCTCTATTCTCATTCTTTGTTCATCCCAAATTCTATCTCTGTCACTCATGAGAATTAAAGGGTTAACTGACACCAAAAAAAACCCTTAAATTTATCAACAAAGTGCATGCATGACTTTAATTTCTTCTAATCATATTGCCACTACCCCTTAACTAATTACAATTACATATAAGTACAGTATAAATTTTTTTGTATCAAATATATTTTATATGCTTTTTTAATTATGTAGAAGTGTTTTCTTTCAAAAGCTATGAAACTACATTATGGGGATCTTACTGACAGTACAAACTTGGTGAAAATTATCAGTGAGGTGAGATTTTTCAGACTGTTCAGACATCCCTGTTTTTTTTTTTTGCAGTTGTGAGATGTAAATATTAATTTAAAATTTGTAGGAAAGTTAAACTTCCTAAAATTTATTTGCTAGTATGTCCAATTGTGTTACATAACTGAAAAGTGAGTATCAAATTTGACAAGTAATGATCCAAGATGAATAATGTATTTCTTCCACTCTAGGTGAAACCAAATGAGGTTTACAATTTAGGAGCTCAAAGCCATGTGAAGGTAATTTTTTAAGCTAAAAAGTTTATTTTGTAGCAATGGAGTTTGAAGAGTGTGGTTTCCTTGTTATGAAAAGTTTAATATCTAGCCTCTTTATTGAAAAGGATCCTCTTAAAAAGAGAGTTGAAAATTTAAACCCCTTTTTAATATTTTGCAGACAAACTTGTTTCAGTTGGCATAAACAAGGTTTAAAAAAAGGTTTAAAAAAGGTTTTTAATTTTTCTCTTTTTTATGATTTCTTTGTTTAGGTTTCATTTGATTTAGCTGAGTACACTGCAAATGTCGATGCTGTGGGAACTCTCAGGCTGCTAGATGCAATCAAAACTTGTGGACTAGAAAATGATGTTAGGTTTTATCAGGTAACATGATGTTCTTGCAGTTGTCCTTCAGTTTTGCCATATCTTCAGGGTGCTTTATTAGCAGATCTTAACAACTTTAGTTTGTGCTAAACAGTAGTCAGAAAGCAGTTTAGCTACCCAAGTCCTGGTACTATTAAAATGCTTTAAGTATGCTTTATGAATGGGACATTCACAACAGACTGGAAATTTCATGTACTATGATTTTAACCCTTTAATTCCTAACAGTGATTACCATGTAACCTCTCCCTGTGATATCCATACATCCTTCAGCAAACAGGAAATATGAAAAGTTATCAAGTAGAAGTTGTTATTTTGATCAAATACCAAATTCTCCCTTAGACTTAACTCTTGTAACTAATTTAGAAAGAAATGTCTAGCCCCCAGAGGAGAGGATTACTTATTAGATCTTTGAAGTGAAAGAGTTATATTGTAGGGGTCAGAATTTTGTAGAGTTTACATACATTTTAATCATGTTTATTTCATTTGGTTTCTTTAATATATTGGTTTATAGGCTTCTACAAGTGAAATGTTTGGAAAAGTTCAAGAAATTCCACAAACAGAGAAAACTCCATTTTATCCCAGGTCACCATATGGTAAAGATATATATAATTACTGTTTTTAAACTACTGCAAGCTGTAAATGTTAGTAATCATTCATTTGCTGAGGTTGTTGTCAGATTGAAATGCATGTTGCAATTCAGCAAACTTATTCCGCAATTCGTTTTTGCAAAATTAAACACTAATTTTCTCCCTTAATTTTGTTTGAACCATCTTTAATCCATAGGTGCTGCGAAAGTGTATGCCTTCTGGATAGTGGTGAATTATAGAGAGGCTTACAACATGTTTGCCACAAATGGGATTTTATTCAATCATGAAAGTCCACGCAGAGGTAAAGATTAATTACCACATGATCTCTTATTTAAGCAATAGACTACTCTTTCTATTGGTTTAGGGGTGTAATTTGGGTTAAGGCATTGTAGTGGGGTCCTGGGTTCAAGACCTTCACTCTTCTACAGACTGGATTGGTTCTTAGTTTTCTTGAGTTCATCTCTGGCTGCACCTTGTATATGGCCAACTGGTCTGTCTCCTGTCAATTGGGATTTTTAAACACTGTTTATTTACAATGTTTGTTCGCAATTTGTTGTTATTAGGCCTGAAAAATCCTGTTAGGGGAGTGATTATTGAATGTTGTTGTTATTATTATTTTTTTATTATTATTATTATTATTATTGTTATTGTTGTTATTTTTATTATTATTATTATTATTATTATTATTACTATTATCATTATTATTATTATAACCCACATGGGATGTTGAGAGCTGGAACACAAGACAAATCAGTAAATCATTTCCAGTAGCCTCTAGCTTATTATTTACTCACGTTTTTGAGTGTTCTCTCTCTCAGTTAAGTTATTGTGCTGATTAACTAACAGAAAATGCAAACAATTACTTTTCGTAAAATATGAACTTTAATTTTTTATGGGTTTACCATAAGCATATGTTGGTTTTTTTGGCCAATCAGGGCATTCTTTGTATTCCTGTTATTTTATAACAAATGATAGACTTGACATAGTTGTTATATAACAAAACAAAAATCATAGTATTACTAAACACCATGTCTAAGTACAGGGTAGTGAGTTGTCATTGCTATGATTTCTTACCCAGGTGAGACATTTGTAACAAGGAAGATAACAAGAGCTGTGGCAAAAATCCATTTAGGATTACAGGATGAGGTAAAAGAACCATAAATTACTTTTCAAAAGGGTGCTTGTTCACTTTGCAAATGGCTATTTGATATTGAATGTCACAATGGAGTATAAAATGCATGTGAGGAGTGGCCAGGGGGTGTGCTGTATTTGTAGTCCTGTTAGCAAGTGAAGCAGTTTAATTCATTCTGCTTGTGTTGTGCCATCATGATAATTGAGTCAGCTTCTGTGTATATTTCTCACCTTTTTTGTGATCTATATTCCAGCTTCAACTTGGAAATTTGGATTCTAAGAGAGATTGGGGGCATGCTAGAGATTATGTTGAGGTAGAGAAATAATATTTTGATGTCAAACATGGACATAAATATGATTTATAAAGGCCGCAGTGTTCTAGTGGTAAAAGTGAATTGGGGGGGGGGGGGGGGAGAGGTATCCCCATCAATAGGGTAAGCTCTGCGGTCAGAGTATTCCCTGGCAGCTTTATTGATAGATTGAAAACCAGATAACTTATGAAATAGATGTACCCTCATAAATCATAGTGTAGTAAATATTTTATTTTAAGTCTGATCACTTTTCCATCCAGCTGGGTCATTGAAACACCTACACTATAAAATTAACCAATCATTGTACTGTAGATATGAATTTAGAGCCAGAGCTTTCCCTCTTCTTGGCAACTTCCATCACAACACTTGCTTTTAAACCTTCCCCTCTTCAACCCTCTTCAACCCTCCCCTTCACAAACCAATCAAAATTTTTAAAGGGGGTAAGTTTCTAAAGAAACTGTGATGCTGTGTCATTGGGAGAGTAGAAACAGGTAATTTAGTATTATCAACTGAGTTGATAGCGTAAATTGGCTACTGTAGAGAGTTTCCAAGCTGATGTTTCGAGCATTAGTCCACCATCAGAGTGATGTGATGAAGGGGAAACTGGAAAAGTCAACCTTGAAACTCTTTATGGTGGCCAGTTTACATTATCAACTTAGTTGATGATACTAAAGTACCCAATCAAACATTTGTTTCAGTGATCAATTGTTTGTTCCACCATCCATATTTGTTCTGGCTTTGCATCCCAACTTTAGAGATCAGAGAACGCACAATTTTTTTAATTAATTAACTTTACCCTCATAACAAGTCAGTGAATATTGTTAGCCTTTCTTTTTATTGTAGGCTATGTGGCTTATTTTACAACACGAAAAACCAGAGGACTTTGTTATAGCAACTAACAAAGTTCATAGTGTCAGAGAATTTGTAGAAGCAGCTTTTCAAGAAGTTGGAATAACCATTGCGTAGGTCTTCATGTGATATTTTATTTCCTATTAGGTAATTAATATTAAAGATAAATTTTAGACAACTCCCAAGGAAAGGAAACATTTTGGTACTTTAGATAAAACTAGATGCAAGAAAGCGTGTGGAAAGAGAAACTGCCAACAAACATGGCTCAATTGGACCAAAGAAGATGGCAAAAAATCCAGCCATAGAGCAACTTTGCATATAGTTCTGAAATACATGCAGTGCCCTCATCACTTAAAAATGTGATTGGCCATCAATCAGATATTTGTAGAAATGGACTGATTTGGGAAAGCTATGAGCTGCAAAAGACAATCAAATAGCAATAGCTTAAACAACATTTCCCTCCCTCCCCCCCCCTAAAAAAAAACAAAAACAAAAACAAAAAAAAGTGTTTCTGTCTTTTACTGTAACTTAAAGCCTCATGTGGCTGGTCAAAATCAGATGGAAGCACTCCTGAAAACAAACTGTTGGTTTTTTTAATGCTAAATGGACAAGAAGTGGTTGTAATGAGGTGGTTAGTGGGGTAGGTGTAGAATGAAGTTTTACAGTTAGAAGTAGATCCAGTCCAGTCCAGGGAAGAATTGCATTCAAATATAAAATGTAAAGTTTACTGTCTTGCAGGTGGGAAGGAGAAGGTGATAAAGAAATTGGTGTAGACGAAGTCAGTAGGAAGGTTCTTGTAAGAGTGAATCCAAAGTTTTACAGACCTACAGAAGTGGTGAGTTACATTCTTTGATTATATCACATGAAGACTGACGAGTTTAAAGAACATTACAAAATCATCAATATTTTGCATGATTTGGTCCCCTCATGGCTGATAGGCTGGTCTTTTAACCTGGACAAAAGGGTCTCAAAGTCCTGGCCATCATCCATGGGAATTCTACTTTTTTGTATTCTTGATGCCATAACAATTTTTTATCTTGGGACCTCTTCAAAAGTGTCAATAGAATGGAACCTTTTACATTGTAAATTTCTGCAATATGGATGCAAATTAAATGGGCTCTTGATTGACACAAATACTCTGTCTGATCACTTCAATGAAGGGAAGTATCTGGAAACACGACTTTGTGACACTTTATCTAGTCTTAAGGCAGTCCCTTAAATGGAGATTCCATAGTGCTGGTGTACTACGAGTATGATTTAAAATTGATGCAAATATTTACATTTGGTAGGAATACCTTCAAGGATCATTCGAGAAATCAAAGAAACTTCTTGGCTGGGAACCAAAAGTGACTTTTGAGGTACCTGTTAATTGTTGTTATTATTGTACTCATACTGTATTCAAAATGGCAATAGGACCAAATGGAGACCAATTCCATCTGTAAGATTTCATATGAGTGATGAACTGAATCAGACAACTGTGAAGCGGGAGTCTGATTTGTTCATCTCGAGGATGATTACAGACAGAACTGGATGACACAAAGTCCTGTTACCAATTAATCAAAACTATGACAAATTTGTGAAAGAAACTAGACATCGATTTTACATTTTCATAAAAAAAAGAAAAGAAAAGAAACAATTAACTTGGCAAAATGCAACACAACAACACATGCAGATGATGTATTCTGTTCACTTACACTAGCATGATGTATTAACTTTCTCTTTAACTGTCCTATTACACTGTCCAATCAGAAGCATGATGTGTACAGTATCCTATTAGTACTCAAATCAGGCTGGTGATCACCAATTATGTTTGAGAATTTTATAGTTTTGATTGATATTGAAATGTTAGCATGTGTAGGAGGGTGAAAAAAGTTTGGTTCACTGAGTGCTCTAGTTGAGTATTTTAAACAGTTAAATATGTTATATGTAGACCTGTGTAAGTTATTAAAAAATTGTGGATAGTTATGGTAAATCTTAATTCAGAGCCTCCCTTTCCATTTTTATCTCACAAAAGCTTTTAAGGCTTTAAAATTCTTTAAAGGTGACATGTTATTTGTGGTGGTCAATTTATGTTTATTAGCATGGTTGGATGTAGTAGTCATAAATTTTTAATGCCACAAAGATATTATTAATATTCCCCTTCCCTAAGTATGTGGCTTGTTTAATTTGGAAATTCAAGAAAGTTGCAATGATTTTGTGACCTTTTTACAGGAACTGGTAAAAGAAATGGTGCAAGAAGACATAGCACTTATGAAGAAAAACCCATTAGCTTAACTTTACTAAGTGAATGGTCCAATGTTAAGTTCACTGGATGGATGCACAATGAAGACATTTTCACATGCTTAGCCACTACATTGTAGGAGACTAAATATACACGTTCTGCCAGGACGACTTGTTTACAGCTTCAAATTTTCAAATTTCATGTATCTCCTACCCCCATTGCTGCATTTGAATTTGTTTTATTCAAGGACAAGAGTCATCAGAATTCTTCAAGCTGTTGCAAACCAGTTGTTTGCAAGAAAAATGTAATATTAAGTTGGTTGTTTGTATTTTATTGAGTTGGGAGTTGTATGCATATATTATAGAATATGGATTCTGTGGAGTATTTATTTTCCTCATGAAGATGTAAGGACCATTCCTTCTTGGAAGCCTTCAAAATTGCATTTTATTTGTTACGTGCACTATTTATAATCACATCTTGAATAAATTTTAATATTGCACTCATATTGCAGTGATGGGGCCTTACAATTGAGAACAATTTCAGCAATTAGTTTTGTGAAAAAAAAAATCATTTGCTAGTTAAAGAGAAGAGATTTAGTATTTTCAAATCCCTCTCCACCTTAATTACTCACCTATAAATGTGTGTAATTTCACTGAATTAAAATTAAAAATACACCTAAAAGCTGTTCATCTGTTATTTACCTTTTAATAGATGTCCAGAAATCCAACAAAATTTGTGGTGTCATTTATTAATTTATTATTGCCTTAAATAATATTTTTAAGCAATTCATTATGCTATTATTTAACATGTTTTGAATATGTAACTCAATGTCTTTAACATTACAACTCATCTCTGTCTTCCTTTCTTTGTTCTTTATATTTATCTTGTTTAGCTTCTGTCTGTATTTTTAACTTGTAAGCAGCTCCTCTATCACCAGGAGCTCCAGCAACAGGACCATGTGGTTCCTCACAGTGCCGCACAATTGTTTTCAATGTTTCTTGAGAGAGAGCTCTGATATCATCACGTGTGAGAAATCCCTTGCCATCAGGATCTAACAATGTGTGGAATATTTCATGGGTGTCTCTCTGGATCAGCTCCATGGTTTCTTCATCAAGAGTGAATATATCTTCTATCAGTTCAGAAAATTTCCTTTCAGTCAACCTATCCACCTGAGAAAGATTGAAACTAATATTTAGCAACACAACTTGAAAAAAGATGTCTACTGAAAAAAGAGCATTTGTCAGCTACTTAGCTTTGGGTCTGGGAAAAGAATGGTTTGATTTCAGGACCAAAGCCCTGTTTCTTGAAAGACTTGATAACTTAATGGACCAAAAGTTGGATTTTCTTTGTATGCCATGTTTCATTCAAGATAAAGATACTGATAGATTTGTAACTGAAACTGCAAAAATATTGAGAAGAGTAAATAAATACATGCTGTGCTAGAATCAGTTGACCCCATTGCCAGGAGAAGACTTGCAGTATGCAGTTGAAAAGTCACAATCTACATCTAGTGACTTTGTCGCAAGACAACAGAACAAATTTATATTATCAACAAATTCTCCTTGTCAGCACCTTAGGAATTGTAATAATAATAATAATTTAATAATTTATAGACTTTTATTGTGCAATTATCAATATAAGAATTTTCAATCGCACATTACAATTAAATGTTAAAAATTCAACCCTATGTAGATACTAAAAACTAAAAAAAAAAAAAATTTTTTTAAATAAAAAAAAAAATAAAATAAATGTTCACTAAGAAGTAAAAATATAAGATTAGACAAAAATTAAAAAGCTTTTGCAAATAAAAGTCTTGGTGACCTTCTTCAACTTGTTTAAAGATTGGGTGTTTCTGATAGAGCCCGGAAGATTGTTCCAAAATTTAGGGGCGGCTGCATGGAAAGATCGCTTGCCAAGAGTGAGTGGGGGTTTTACCCCTGCAAGGAGCAAGGAGTAAGCTGTCATTGGAACATAAATCATATCTTCTGGTGTCTCTAACAGAAATCAGCTCACTTATGTGGGCCATCAGCTCACTTATGTAGGCCATCAGTATGTGTAGGCCAACAATTGTATAGAAAACAGTATGGAGAACTTGCATACTGATGTTAGGGTGTAAAGGGTTGAGGTCTTCTTAATCCCCTCCCCTCTCCCTTACAGAAACAGCAGAAATAACATTCTAATTCTACCCGGTGTATCTCAATTCAGCCATTTCATCAGTGGTTCTCAGTTGGAGAATTCTTTAGTAATGAAGGTGACGGGGTTTGTTTGTAACCTTCATTTTATTCATTTTAATAATTCTACTTGACCCCTCAGAAGAGCCCTCACCTGAAGGCTGTCAAATGAAGACAAGAAATATTGTCTAAATTTCTCCACATTCTGATAACCCATGTCGATAGTCTTGTCTCCTTTATTGTAAGTCCAGTGCACTTGAGCTTCACTGAGTGGTCGGTACTCATATGTCTCATTCTCACAGCTGGAATTGTTGAATGTGTTATCAAGAGACACAGTAAAAAGCATTGTTGCAGAGATGGTGCGATTGCCTTTGTATGAGCGCACTTGGTGTATGTAACCTGTTGGTAGAATTGTTAATTGAATCAATTAGTTAAATTGGCTTTGTAAACTTTTTTAAATAAAAACCTTCAGCAATTAAATATGCTCAGCAATGTTATCTTGAAAGGGTAAGTGGTTTGATAAGATGTACAGACACTATGAATATCATGAAAACTAAAGACTGAGAGCTTTCTCCAACATTGCTTTTTTTTTTTCATGGGTACTCACCGAGTGCCTTCTACACAGGCTATCACTTGTTTAAGAGATCAAGTGGGAAGGTTTGAAACCATCTCTGGTGGTTGTTATTCTTTTCAACAGAACGCAAACTAAATGCATGGTTAAAAAGCTGTTTTACGAGATTCAGATGGTCATTTAAACAGAAGCATAAAACTAAGGTTCCAATTTTTAGTGTAAACATAAAATTCATTGTGTTATTGAAGAGCATAGTGAAATAACTTGAGGTTGAGAGAAACATTATGAGAGGGAGCTTACCTGAAGGGATGAAGATACAGTCGCCTGGTCCAAGAGTACTGTATGTCCACTCCACTTTGGAAGCATCTGGATACAGATTCAGGTCAACCATATCAGGATCAATGCTGGAGTAACCTGAACCAAACTGTGGGGGCTGAAAAACAAATACATTGAGATCTCACCCCTTTGGAACAGTCCAAAGAACATGGTCTAGTATTGGTAAGACTGTCAATTATAGACATCACAGAAATTAGAGCTGCAAGGAAGGGGGACCACTCAAGGGCAATTTGGGTGGGGTAGTTCCACTGGGGCCTTAAGGGTCTGATCCTGTCTAAGATAAAGTCAGTTCATTTTACTGACCTGTTCAAGAAATGAGTAAGATTTGTCATTTAGCAAGTATTACGATTTATCATGTAACTAGCATAGTGGTATTAAATATGTAAAGAAAATATTCAAATCCTGTATTTTAATACTGCACACTTCTGATGATCACACCCTGTTAAAGGCTCACAGTCCAGTAAGACACCATTCTGAAGATGCTAAAAAATTGAAATTGAACACCCCAAAGTTCCAAGCTCCACTTCTTTTAAAGTCGCTTCTTGGCAACATGATAAGAATGGTCATCAGGAAACAAAGTATTCTACAGGTGTACATATTCTGTATAATCATATTCTTCACAAATTTTTATTTTTCATTCACTTTGGACTATAAAATGCTGAGTACTGGAGCACTTATACAGCTCACTGTATGGCTGCCATGTGCATGTCACTTAAAATACCTGAGTGACTTTTCCAAAACTATTCCATGCTCCCTATGACAAATAAACTGATCACAACTTGGAGTCCCCTGGCCTGTTACAAACTCAAGTTCCTAAAACCCATACTTTAAGGGTACATACCACTCATACTTCAAACTCACCTTGGTGACATTCAGAACAGGTGCGAAGTCTGGGTGAATCATCACAAAGTCTTTGCGGCCTGCAACAAGGCAGTGAATGTTATGGTCTGCATCAAAATGAATCACAGATCGTGTTCCTCCAGAGCTCATCCAAAAGTTAAGTTCATGTAAAAAGTCTTTGAATGTACCACACATTAGACAGGGGAGCAACTACAGAGCAAAGAATGAAAGTGTTCAAGGAGAATCTTGATAACATTAAATTGTAAATGGACATGCATACAAATCATTCATTTTGAGGAAATCTGTTTTCAAAAAGATCATTGGCCAAACAAAGTAAAAAATGTAAATAAAAGTTGTGATACTGTGTTCTCTGTCTTAGGTAAAAGTTTAATGAAGTTGTATCAAAAAAGATTTGTAAAATAAGAAATGCAAAGAATGAAACCCCATTTTTAGTTTATATCTAATTGCTAAGACTGTCAGAAATGATTGAAGAATATCATCCTAAATAGGACTGGCAGATACAAAGGAGGGTCTGCCCCTCTACCCCTCCTTTCCCCATCTGACATGTGGTTATTCACACTACTTGTTTGAAACCAAAATTATTTCAAAGACAGAATTGAAGATTACTGACTTAACTTGAAGTGTTCAATTTTTTTTCTCTTATTTATCAGACCCTGATATGGAAGCATGGTAAGATAATGCTGTAGAATTCATAGTTTGATTCGGAAGCATCATCATCTGTGACAAGCCATGGACATTCTCCAAAGTATTAGTTTGAAATATGGGTTCTAAATTCACCTGTAAACTCTCTACGAATCTCTTCCAAGGGGAAATATGCCTCATTGTCCGTCCCAAACGACCTAAACATGAGGAATGTGACCAATCTTTTCCATTCCATTAGGACTGAAAGTTCTTCCCGAAGCGTAAATTGCAAATTTATACTCGAGTAAAAACAGGTGAGGAGGGTACCTCAATTGTTCATTTAAATAACAATACATTGATGAGAACAATGAATGTTAAAATTTAATCCTCGAACCATTTGAACTTTTTACGACTTTATAACTGTGATAAAAAACCGATAAATTTTAAACTTAATCAATGAAAGAGGCAATTTTAGCGTCAGAGAAACATTCACAAATGAATATTTTGCGAACATGAAACATATCTACTTACTGGAAGATCTTTCCTCATCGGGTCAGGCAAAACTGTCACTACATACAGATTTTCCTTTCCATAGACATCAATAAAATCACCCAATAACATCCTTGACGTTACCCCATGTGTTCTGTTTTCTGTTTTCAGCTCTGTCAACACATCTAAGTCGCCATATTTTTCCTTTAAATACTGGTCGCTCCACTTTAGTCGCGCTGGGGAGTTTGCGATAGCCTGACGGAATACAAGTGGTTTTAACATGCTCACATGTTTATCCCAAAATTCTTGAGGTTTTAGAACTGAGTTGTATTCAACTACAGGACCATTTGGTGGTCTTTGCAGTCCAAACATTTTTAAATGTCCTGCTAAAATGCTTGGATCCTCTGAAGGAAGAAACTGCGGCGGGAATACAATTTCCTGGAGACCCTGTGAATGACCCTCGCTTGACGGTAGGAAGGCGGTGAAAACGAGAAAATTCTGAACCAGAGAAAGAAGTAAGAAATAAGCCCTTGGACAAAATAGTTTAGACATTTCGTCGATGGTCAGTTACAGTGGAATGTGTCTAAAACAACTCATTCCAACAACGATAAATCAAGAGAGAAAAGTCTGACCAAAGACCCACGATAACATTACCAGTCCATTTGCGCCCTTTCATCAAATCATTAGGCTGCGTGACGCATGCAAACGATCTCCATGGTGTCACACAATATCAGCAACTTATAAACACAACAAAACACCTCCGTACATCAACTTCTCACAGTAAGGAAAGGAAGAATTCAGTGTTGAGTTTGTTCGAACAAAAAGAGTCGTTGTATTCAAATCTTGTCATATCTATTCTTTTCAGACCTAGTTTTCAACCAGTTCATCACTGTACATTAAAATTCGTTTGGTACAACTTTATTAACAACTCAAACTTCGAGAATAATTTGGTGCATCTATTCTAAACCAACATCTGATATTCCTAAGAAGTTTGAAAGAACCTTTTGGTGGAAATTCTGTGGAAATTACTGTCTGCCGTGCATCTAGTCTATTAAAGACCGTGCCCGGCTGCCGGGCGTTAAGGCTGGAACAATTTATCATTTTTTT